TATATATATATTAATTTCCATTTCATTATCTTGCAATAACAAAATGTATTACGTTAAAATAGACAATTTGATATAAGAATTCTATTAAAATTAATACTGATCTTTTGTGATTCAGTTTTGAAATATAAAAAACTGTTATTTGAATCTCTCACCTAGAACACTATATTTGATTTAAGATTGTGGAGCACATAAGAATATGTATATACGTTCATTTTGAATTTGCACCTTTAATGATCTATCAGTTACTTTTCGTGGTACATATTCAACATAGAAAATATACATAATGTTTGTTCACTTTGAACTGGCACATTTAGTAATATATCAGTTACTTTTTCTGGTCATATATTATATTAGGTAATATCATTTAAAGTATTAAAGGTTTAAATTATTATGTTACATTATTAGATAATCATTTTAATTTAAAAAGGTTCAAATTTTTGGGGTAAGATTATAAGTAACATTCACGGCGTTGAATTCAAATAATATGCAGTCGTCGCAAATTAATTCAAGGAAAAACTTTTCCGAATTAAAAATAATCTCAATTAACGTTAATTCCCTGATCAGGAATCAGAGAAGCGCTTCTCTGTTGAATATAATTAACAAATACTATCCCGATGTAGTTCTAATTTGGGAAACTAAATTAAATCACGTTCTGCGTTTTGAGAATTATGATATTATTAGGAATGATAGGAATGATCCTCACAGAGGTGGTGGTACGGCCATTTTAATGAAAAGAAGCATTAGTCACAGTATAGTTTCAAATAATATAACTCACGGTAATAAAATTCTTGAAACTTCGATAATCAAATGTAAATTGAAATCAAATAATTTCTTATATATATTATTTCAGCGTATGCAAAATGTGGAACCCAGAAAGAATTCATCCCAGAACTTGATAATCTATTTAAAGAGTTAAAACTTAACGATTTTGAAAATTACTACATACTTGCGGGAGATCTGAATGCCAAGCACACTGATTGGCGTAACAAAATTAACAATCCTAGAGGAGTTTCTTTTCGCCTTTGGCTTCAAACTAATGAATTAAAGTACAGATCAATCTTGTTATGCTCTAAATATCTATCTTATCCTAACGGCCAATCCTTTCTAGATCTAGTACTAGCAGACGCCAGACTTAAATTTCAAGTTTTGGAAGATGATGTCTTTCTCACTAATATACCATATGATAGTGATCATAATGCACTTTTATATAATGTTGAGATCGAGAGCGAGGACGAGTTCCTTTTGGATGCGAACAATCCTATCAGAAAATTCAACTACAAAAAAGCAAATTGGGAAAAATTTAATTCGCATCTAGAGCAAAATTTCAATATAGTCATCCCTAATGATAGAAATTTAAATATAAATGAGATAAACACTTATCTCCAGAATATAGACGACGCGATTACTGATGCTATGGCTATAAATATCCTTAGAATCAAATTCAAAAATCCATTAAAATCATACATAAACGATACTATAAGAAACTTACAAAATGAAAAGAGCAAGTTACTTACACAAATACATCGTCTAAACAGAAAGTGGCCTCTTGTCAATTTTCGTAGATTAAAACAGTTAAAAAAAGAAATCAACAAGATTAAAGAACAATTGAAAACGGAATTCTCAAAATCTATCAGTAATTATTGGAAAGAAAAGATCTCCAATATAACAAAGCAGGATTCAGCAAAGATGTTCCCGAAAATAAACTCTATATTCAGGAAAAATGACCCTATTGAGATCTCTAGTCTTAAATTAGATTCGAACTCTGATACTCTGATTTCTGCAAAAATTGATACCATTAAACTTATTACGGATACAAATGGGAATGTACTTGTCGAAAACATACAAGACAAATTAGATGTACTCGGCGCACATTTCGCCAGTGTTAATAACAGGAAGATAGAAAACAATAGACCACATTTAAATGAATTAATAGATAGTCAAATAAATGCATTCAAAAATAGTGTATCAGCTGATCGCGAAAATAATGTGTTGTTTGCAACTTCGGCAGTGATAATACGGCGGACAACCCATCTGGTCCTCCGGAATTTGCCAATTATTTTATTAACACGACTTCGCTAATAATAATTTTCAGAAAAATCAATAACAAAAAATCATATGGTTTAGACGGTATTCCAAATATAGTATTAAAACATTTACCGATCAAAATAATATACAATTACTCGATATTGTTAAATAATCTATTAAATTATTCAATAGTAGAGTATATAAGGGGATTCAAAGCCATGGTCCTCTGAGGGGGGGTGAGGGGCGAGGGGAACCCGAGGCGCGGGGGGTCTACGTCACGGCAGGGGACGGGGATGACGTCACGGATGCGGACGAGGGAGTATGACGTCACAGAGCGAGAGGGGTATGACGTCACGGGAGGGGAGGGGGATGACGTCACGGATGCAGGCGAGGGGTATGACGCCACGGCAGGGAAGGGGGATGACGTCACGGATGAAGGCGAGGGGTATGACGTCAGGCAGGGGAGGGGGATGACGTCACGGATGCAGGCGAGGGGTATGACGCCACGGCAGGGAAGGGGGATGACGTCACGGATGAAGGCGAGGGGTATGACGTC